TGCAGGAGAAAGTGTGGGGGAAAGAATTTACAAGAAAGTCTGTTGGCACAAGTGGCATCCCTACGGAAGAAATAGAATGAGATCCTTATCTTACTTTATATACAAAAATAAATTCCACGTGGATGAAATATCTAAATGCAAAAAACCAAATTTTAAAACTGAAAAAAATGTAGACTATGCTTATGACATTCAAGTAGGGAAGTCACCATAAAGTAGAAAGAAGATATTCGCGACATGTATATTACAGACCAAAGGTTAATATTCAGAATACACAATTGTAAGAAAAAGGCGATACAACAGACTAATGAGCGAAAGAAACCAACAGTTCACATAAAAGGAAACCAGAATGTCTGACAGCTAATTCATGTCTGATAGCATGTCTGAGACCATGCTCAGATTAGCACAATTTAAGATTTCTGACAGTATAAAGAGTTGGGAAGACACTGAGGAAATGGGAAATACCCTGCAGATGATGTGTGAGCTACTAGCGGGTGCAGTTTATCACTGTGGAGAGGAGAACACTGGGACGCATTCAGCAAAATCACCCAGCTGGTGGCCCAGCAAATCCATTTCTCACAGCATATCTATAATAATGAAAAACTGGAAATCACCTACATTTTCATCAGTAGGGAACAGGTGAAATGGGGTAAGGTTATACAGTGAAATACTATAGAACATTAAATGGGATGTATACCAACACGGCTAGATCTCAAAAACAACGCTAACAGAGGAAGCAACTTATAGAATGACATTTGAGTACAATAACGTTTATGTAAATTTTAAAAATACACACAATACTTGTCCATGGAACAAATACACATGAAACTATAAAGAAAATAGACTTTAAAGATAGCATGTTAAAAATTATGACATCAGTTACTTCTAGTAGTAGGAGAAAAAGGAAATTGGCCTTGGGAACGGGGCAAAGGTACTTGAGCTTTATCTGTAATACTTTATTCCTTTTATTTTAAAAATAGACTTGAAGCAGATATGTCAAAATCTTAGCAGTTCTCATTTCTAGATAGTGGGGTACA